TATTTAATCATTTTCTACATCAATTATGTGACACCAATTTAATAGGCAAAGTGATTGGTAAAAAGCGTCCCCACCGTTCCAAATTTGATTAGGGAGGTGGGGTTGCATTTTTACCATCACGAATAAATATAGGCCTATATAGACCTAATTTTGGTGTGGGGGGTGCAAAAATGATAGTTTGTGCAGGGTGTCGAAATAGATCGCTACTCCTTTATAAAAGTTATTAAATAGTAGGTACTTTTTGATAATAGCGAATTAACATTTTTGCGCCCCCCCCCCCTGTGGATGGCGCCCTAGGCGACCGCCTAGTTCGCCTTATAGGTAGCGCCTGTCCAGCTTAGGAGAATGTGTTACTTAAACTAGTATTTATTTTTATCTGCCTAAAGTTGTTTTTTCTTTTAAATGTTGTAACCTGAGAAATAGCCGCAATAAAGATGTATATAGATCCAGAGGCGTAGCGGGGGGGGGGGGGCTGGGGTGCGGACCTTATTTTAGTCTTGTTCTTATGCCATTTTATTTTCTCCTTTGATTATTATATATGCGATTGATGTTCATGTCTTTGATGCTGTGTAAAATCTATCAAATAAATTATTATTACTGATTTAAATGTTTAAAACAATTGAATTAATAAAAAATAAAATATAAACTGTTTGAGGACTGTAGGCCTATAGATATAGATGTTTGAAAGGGGACGAGTGTTTGCTTTAATGTGTCTCATTGTAATAACATAACTTTCCGATTGCTTAAAATTTGTATAATTTTAATTCTCTGTAATCCCAAATTTATTTCAGCTCTACTTAAAACCCCAAATTCCACCCTCCCCCCCCCCCCCCCGTCCCCGTCCCCGTCCCCGTCGCCTCAGCCCACCACGCCGAAAAAAAAATCCATTGAATCATTATTTAATTACACATTTGCATTTTCAGTTTCAGGTTGGTTTTTTTATTTTTTATTTTTTTAAATCTAGACGTTTTGTATTAGATCTATGTATAAGTAAACCATCTTAAATGAATGAAAGTAGGCTACAAGTAAGAAAGAAATATTATTATTGTAAATCTGTATCAGTCCTCACAAGCCGATGATAAAAACTGTAATACTAAAGCGAACACACAACTGACGCTGTAAATTACATGTCTGAGGCAGGGGGGGGGGGGGGGAACTAAGAATAAATCCTAGTAACCCTACTATTATGAAGTTACGAGGAACTTATCCGGGAGGCGTTCGCATCAACTCAATTAATCAAGCATCCAAATGCCACATCCACACCGCTGTGGGGTTACGCCCACACATCCCCGAACACTCTAAGTTCTCAGGAAGAAGAAGAGTCGCAACGTACTAAAATGTAGTTCTTTAGTGGCTTCAATGTACGAGATGCTAATCACCTATTTTCGATGGACGTAGGTTTCCTAGGAGCGATCCTAGATAGGATGCTTCGCCATGACAACAGCGAACTTACGATAATCTCGACAAACTATTACGCATCGATCACTTCAAATACTCCATTTTTACAACCTACGATTATTTATCTCTCGACTACTTAAAAACATCCAAATAAACTATTCTACCAAAATTACATCCAGTGTTTCTTCCAGATTTTCTTTCTCCGGGGGGGGGGGGGGGGGCAGTTGAAATTTTCAGCGGGGCGGACTAATATTTCCGGGGGGGGGGGGGGGGTTGTGGACACTGTTAAAAAATATATATTTTATATATAAATTCCATTTCGCTCGGGGGTGGGGGGCGGTAGACTCTCTACGGAGCCCCCCCCCCCTCTCCCCCCCCCCCCCCCGAAGAGATGCCTGGAAGAAACTGACTACATCTCGACATTTTCAACTTGCGATTTTCATCACATGATTACTCAACCCCCATCTACCAACTCCCATCTACCAACACCCATCTACCCCCCCCCCCCCCATCCACCAACCCTTATCTACCAACCCCCATCTACCAACAATGATTAATCAACTCTCGACCGCCCAAAAACGCTTTACTTTCAACTCGATATCCTAAACTAAAGAGATTCAAGACCCTCCTCACATCTTCTAGCTCTATGAGCAACCAAAAGGCTCAACGCAAACTAACACTACAAGACCAAAGGCAACACACTTCGATTTCTCAACTCAATCCTACAGCACAATGATACCACCTCACCAGCACCCCAAGCTACATTTCCCAAGAGTAAAGCAACCATCAACGACAAGACATACGGCTATCTACAATACTACAACAAAACAAGACCAGCTACATCATCACTACCATACCACAACAGGACCCGCTACATCATCACTACCATACCACAACAGGACCCCCTACATCATCACTACCATACCACAACAGGACCCCCTACATCATCACTACCATACCTCCACAGTACCTCTACATCATCACTACCATACCACAACAGGACCCCCTACATCATCACTACCATACCTCCACAGTACCTCTACATCATCACTACCATACCACAACAGGACCCCCTACATCATCACTACCATACCACAACAGGACCCCCTACATCATCACTACCATACCACAACAGGACCCCCTACATCATCACTACCATACCTCAACAGGGCCCCCTACATCATCACTACCATACCACAACAGGACCCCCTACATCATCACTACCATACCACAACAGGACCCCCTACATCATCACTACCATACCTCAACAGGGCCCCCTACATCATCACTACCATACCACAACAGGACCCCCTACATCATCACTACCATACCACAACAGGACCCCCTACATCATCACTACCATACCTCAACAGGGCCCCCTACATCATCACTACCATACCACAACAGGACCCCCTACATCATCACTACCATACCACAACAGGACCCCCTACATCATCACTACCATACCACAACAGGACCCCCTACATCATCACTACCATACCACAACAGGACCCCCTACATCATCACTACCATACCTCAACAGGGCCCCCTACATCATCACTACCATACCACAACAGGACCCCCTACATCATCACTACCATTCCACAACTGGACCCACAACCTAGCCTATCCATAATCTAGCCTATCCTCAACCATACCTATCCACAACTTAGCTTATCCATAACCTAACCTAACCACAACTCAACCCGCCCATAATCAAACCTATCCACAACCTTGCTTTGGGACCTGACTTGAACCTGCCTTGTTGAGATATTATTCAACAAACAAAAGCAGATCAAGACTTTTTAACAAAATCGTGAATTTGTCATTATATAACAAACCAATTCACGATAGTTTGTTAAAGAGGAGAGGTGAGGGGGGGGGGGGAGGGGGGGACATTAGCATTTTCGACCTGGTGCTGGTTAGATGTGGGATTCGCTCTTAAGACCTGCAGAATTGACCGTGATCTGGCCTTCATTCCAGATGAGGGGGGGGGGGGGGGGGGGTGGAGAGTCTTTAAAGCATGAAGGGTAAAAGTGGAATTTGCCTTGTTTTTTTTTTTGTTTTTTTTTCGGGGGGGGGGGGGGGGGTTGGGTGATGTATGACTAGTGTGAGGGTTTGATGGTAAATTGTATGTTTGTTGGTTAAATATGGAGGATATGGGTGATGGTGAGGAATGCGTTGGTAATGGGGATGGTGGTATGGAATGCGATGGTAACGGGGATGATGGTATGGAATGCGATGGTGATGGAGATGGTGGTATGGAATGCGATGGTGATGGTGGTATGGAAAGCGATTGTAATGGGGATGGTGGTATGGAATGCGATGGTAATGGGGATGGTGGTATGGAATGCGATGGTGATGGGGATGGTGGTATGGATGTGATGGTAATGGGGATGGTGGTATGGAAAGCGATTGTAATGGGGATGGTGGTATGGAATGCGATGGTAATGGGGATGGTGGTATGGAATGCGATGGTGATGGGGATGGTGGTATGGATGTGATGGTAATGGGGATGGTGGTATGGAATGCAATGGTAATGGGGATGGTGGTATGGAAAGCGATTGTAATGGGGATGGTGGTATGGAATGCGATGGTGATGGGGATGGTGGTATGGATTGCGATGGTGATGAAGATGGTGGTATGGAATGTGAGGGTGATGAGGATGGTGGTATGGAATGCGGTGGTGATGAGGATGGTGGTATGGAATGCGATGGTGATGGAGATGGTGGTATGGAATGTGATGGTGATGCGGATGGTGGTATAGAATGCTAGGGTGATGGAGATGGTGGTATGGAGTCAGATGGTAATGGGGATGGTTGTTGATTGCTGGTGGTGGAGATTCATGTTGGTGTTGAATGTGAAAGGCGGTGTGGATTGCGATGAAGTGAAGAAGCAGATGGTGGTTTGGAGTACGATGGTGTATGGTGTATGATAATGGGGGGGCGGGGTTATACGTTGTGATAATCAGAGTGTGAGGGGTTGTGATGTGGGGAAGTTGGGGGGGGGGGGTTGTGAGGTGTGATACGTGGATGGGATTTTAATTTATGTAAGGGGAGGTAAAGAAAAGTGGGCAAAGTGCTGACCACACATTCCCTTCATATGCCGAGGACAAGACACATATGAACTTTACTTCATCAGCCCAATGGATCGCTAGAACTAAAGATGATTATTTACTTTAAAGCAGGAGTCTCCAAACTTTTCAGTCCGAGGGCTGTATTAACTATCAAATTTTAATTCTTTGATTTTTCTGCGCAAAGTTCCTCAGCCATCACCAACAAACAATTTAATTTTTCATTGGACAAAAAGATCTCCGCGGGCCGGATGAGAGGACTTCGCGGGCCGCATTTCAAAAAATTCACCTATTTATTTTACAAAATAGTCAGGGTCCTAAAATAACCCATGTTTATTTTTAAAGTAATTAAAAAATAAAAATATCAGCTGGTAGAAAGGGGAAATCCTACCAAGGTGTAAAGGCAGCCATTTTAGCATAAACTATTACTTTATAACTCCTGTAGACACATTGGTAAAGGGAAATAGCATTATATGTGTAAACAAATATTTACATGCATTTAGTTTTTAAAGTTTAATTGTTAAGCAGAATAAAGCAGAGTAAATGAGATGGGGGAAACAATGATTACATCTTGACTATTTATAGAATTCTCACAGAAAGTGGTCTAAGTGTGATGGTAATTTGTGGGCATGTGTGTGTGTGTGACTTGTTTGTTTCTACTTTAGTGAGAAAAAAATGTATATAGCATTTCAGCTATAACAGTTGCTGTAGTGAGATAGAGATTATATTTATAGTGACATCTGATACATAGCCACTCCTTTACTCAGCGGTCCCTATTTTTCCCAGGCCAGCAAAAGTATTAAAGTGTTAAAGAATGGGTTTAATCTTTTGAGTTGCTGAAATATATCGTCTTTTGAGTCCTAAAGACTTATTGTTCATCTTGTTTAGGTTTAAATAAACAGTTTTCAAGAAATAATCAAATGGGTAATTCATGTTATGTTTATAGTATTTGATGTAAGGGAGATAATTTAATTAATAGACCATTGTTCAATGTTCTATTGTGTTTTATATTCTATTTAACCTTTATTGTACCAGCAGTTGTCATGGTGACACATATTTATAGTTTTTCACCTAAACACAACGTCAATTTATCAGATACAAACAAAAAGAACACAACAAAATTTTTAATAAAGGGTAAAATAACATTTCAATTTTTTTTATTTTTAAAATTATTTCTCTAAATAGTAACAGTAACAGCATTGCTTAGATTTATTCATAGTACAGTCAGATTATTAAACTCTTTAAGATCATCATTCTTTACCTGCCTCAACAAAAATTTTTAACACCATACTATACTGCCTTAATAATACATCCCTCAACTTCATCATACAATACTGTCTCATTAATACATTTCACAACATCATCATACTATACTGCCTCAATAATATACGTCTGAACATTATCATACTATACTGCCTCAATAATATATTTCTGAACATCATCATACTATACTGCCTCAATAATATATTTCTGAACATCATCATACTATACTGCCTCAATAATATATGTCTGAACATCATCATACTATACTGCCTCAATAATATATTTCTGAACATCATCATACTATACTGCCTCAATAATATATTTCTGAACATCATCATACTATACTGCCTCAATAATATATGTCTGAACATCATCATACTATACTGCCTCAATGATATATTTCTGAACATCATCATACTATACTGCCTCAATAAAATATTTCTGAACATCATCATACTATACTGCCTCAATAATATATGTCTGAACATCATCATACTATACTGCCTCAATAATATATTTCTGAACATCATCATACAATACTGCCTCAATAACATATTTCTGAACATCATCATACTATACTGCCTCAATAATATATGTCTGAACATCATCATACTATACTGCCTCAATAATATATTTCTGAACATCATCATACTATACTGCCTCAATAATATATTTCTGAACATCATCATACAATACTGCCTCAATAATATATTTCTGAACATCATCATACTATACTGCCTCAATAATATAATTATGTCTGAACATCATCATACTATACTGCCTCAATAATATATTTCTGAACATCATCATACTATACTGCCTCAATAATATATTTCTGAACATCATCATACTATACTGCCTCAATAATATTTTTCTGAACATCATCATACTATAATGCCTCAATAATATATTTCTAAACATTATCATACATCATAAAATACTGCATCAATAATTAATTCCTCAACATCATCATACTATACTGCCTCAAATTAATTCCTCAACATCATCATACTATACTGCCTCAATAATAAATTCCTCTACACCGATGGTATGGAATGTCAGCCATTTTATCAGCTAATTCCCGTCTAGTGTCCCATAAATAATGGTCAATTAATATAGCATTGACTGAGATCTCGTCTTCTTTATCAGCTTTCAGCAGTCGAACAATTTCATCTCGAATCAGCTGAAAATGAAACAGAGAAAAAAACAATCAGAATTAATTCACCATATCTGATATACTATAAAATCTATATATATAATTCTCTTCTGGGAGACGCTAGAAAACAAGCTGTAAGCGCGCCTAGCAGTCCCCTCTCTTCCTCTCTAGGCATCTCTCTATTACCTCCCCCCCCCCCCCGCATACCCACATGATCTGGTGAGCTGTGGTTCACGCTGTTTACAAGCGTAGAGACGGGTTTAGTGACGGCTATTAGGGGCAGATTATTTAGTTTGAAACGATTCTAAACTTAGGGGAGGTAACTAAGAGGAGGGGGGGGGGGGGGGGTTGGGGGAAAGGAGGGTTTTAGTGTTTTAAAGCAAATTTATTTTCAGTGGCAGCATTAGTACTGTCGAATTCACAAATTATGAATTACTGAAAAGTAGAAAAAACTACAACTAAATAGCGGTGTACGATACGCCGCGGGTCTGCTAGTTCCTAATATTACTACTGTTAGGTCAAGAAATATCTAAAAATAAAACAGACAAAAATTTATCAAAACAAAGAAACACAACTCTATAAATTAGTAAGATGAGAAATTCAGTGAGAATTAAGTCCCTTACCTCGCAAGCCCACAAGCTGACACCTCTGATCTCAACTTCCAGCTGTTCCCCACTCTTAAATAGATAGCCTGTAAATATTAGGTTGTATAGGGAATTAATGATAAAGTAACCCAACACAATGTACTCTCAATGACATATCAGAAAAGTAAAATGAATAAATACTACATTGAAAATATTATGGTTTTGAACGCACAGATAAACACCATTGTAATTGTGGTAAATATATTACACAACTCAAATACACAAAACATATGTTAACTGTAAACTCTAAACTTACACAAATGTTGGAATCAAACAGTGATGTACCCAATTTATTCACATACATCACACTCACCAAACTGGACAACCTCTAATTATTGAAAGATATTACCAACTACCAGTAGCTAACCTTCAATATCTCGAGAACCAACAGTAACTCATCCTCAAGATCGGCCAGAATTCAGTAGCTCAAAGATTTTGTCAACCCCCAGTAACCTAAATATCTGGCCAGCCCCCAGGTATCTCAAAGATCTAGTCAACCCGCCCCCCACCCCCACCCCCCGCAGTAACTCACCTTGCTTTAACTTGTCCATCAGACTGTCTGAGTACCTCAACACACCAAAATAGACCAGTGCCTGGGGGATCCTACAAGGTAAAAAATACAATTCACTTAAACAGTTCAAAGTTTAGTGTTTTTAACAGAATAAATACAAGTCACTTTAACAGTTCAAAGTTTAGTGTTTTTAACAGAATAAATACAAGTCACTTTAACAGTTCAAAGTTTAGTGTTTTTAACAGAATAAATACAATTTTTTTTTTTTTACAGTTCAGAGTTTAGCATTTTTAACTAAAAAAATACAATTTACTTTAACAGTTCAAAATTTAGTGTTTTTAATAGAAAAAATACAATTTACTTTAACAGTTCAAAATTTAGTGTTTTTAACAGAAAAAATACAATTCACTTTAACAGTTCAAAGTTAAGAGTTTTTAACAGAAAAAAATACAATTTATATTAACAGTTCAAAGTTTAGCATTTTTAACAAAAAAAAATACAATTTACTTTAACAGTTCAAAATTTAGTGTTTTTAATAGAAAAAATACAATTTTGTTTTTTTACAGTTCAAAGTTTAGTGTTTTTAACAGATAAAATACAATTTACTTTAACAGTTCAAAGTTTAGTGTTTTCATTTAACAGGATCTGTTGTTTTTGTATTTCTTTAATATGAGAGGTCAAAAAAAAATTACTGTGATGATACGTTTTTATTAACAGAAAATATTATCAGCCCTGCAATGTTAAGATAATAGTACATTTCAGTTATTAATATCAATCGTCAGCCTATAGCAATTTCACACTTTTTTTAGGTTACATTTGTATATAAATCACTTGAATTTGGCAACCCCCCCCCCCCCCTCTCCATCCCATTTATAAAAAGCAAAGATTTTTTTATGAGTAAATATATTTAATACATTGGTATTTTTTTTTCAGAAGAAAAATTTAATGTTTTTATACTTTAATTTCTCAACCAACCTGTAATCAGCAAACATTGTGATTGTGTCAATGTCGTTGAACTCCCCAAGTCCTTGACCTTCACATGACCCCCAGATGTCACCAATGAGTATCTGAGCCCTTTTGTAGATTCCAACTGACAAGATTAAAAACATTATTTCAATTCAATGCATTCATTTAGTCATATTTCATAACAAAATAACACTTCATACTCGTTCCATATTATATTAAAAGCATAAATTGCTCCCAAAAAATCACTAAAATATGTTTTGGTGCCTGATGTGGTTATTATTAAAGCTCAAGAATATTAAACAATGCCATTTTCTTATTTATATTCCTTTCAATTATTTGTTATTATTAAGAGTTTATGGGTACATAACTCACATTGGGGAAACAAAGGCAGCTGGGCATAGTGGTGAACACACTATCCCTTCATATGCCAAGGTCTCTGAAGCAGATGAACTCTACTTCATCTGCCCCATGTGTCTTGGGCACGATCGGGGAAAGATGATGCAGCTAGCTAGTTATAATTTTATTTCATTAAAAAAATATAAATCACAATTTTTTTTCAATCAAATTTTATTTGTTATCATTTGTTATCTCCCCTATTCACTTTCTTATAAAGGGGCTGTATTTAAAGTTTATATTATTAATGTCATCTAATTAGGTCAAAAATTAAGTTCATCATGTGTTATTAATTAAGAGCATCTTAATTTTACTTTTTAATTTTTTCAAAACAATAAAAGTTTGACAAACTATTCAGAAGTAAACTGAATATATTAATTTTTTACAATTAAATCAAATAATCATGATCACTTTAATTATTTTTATTTTTCTTTACGAATTTCTTCAGTTTTTGTTCTTTCTAAAGTTTAATGTTCAAAAAATCACAATTGGAAGTAATTTCCGCATTTTTCTGATCTTGTATCAATTATTATTGATTTTCTGTGGCTGGTTGATTAGTGGTTTTTAACATTTTAGCAAGTGTTTGCTTTGCTTTCTGTAAGAACTTAAAATCTAAATAAATGTGTTTCTCACTTTCTTGGATGATTAGTTTAGCAAGACTGGTGTTTTGTAAAAGATCAGTCTGTATGCTACTTCTCTTTCTTTTGGTGTGATGCATTTATTATATAGGTTTCTAAATGTATCTCTAATGTCTATTGTATAGTGTTCCTGGCCAAACTAATTCTCGTCTATAGGAGTGTCGCTTGTTTGATTAGCAAGTCATTTATTTTGTTTTTATCTTCCACATTTATGCTTTTGCTTCCTTGGAATGTTGCTAGCATTTCTCAATAAAAGCTACCAATGTTGGGATATTTAATTTTAGAATGCTCTTTATTTTCTACTCAATGTAATACTGTGCTAAAGAATGTTAATGTTGTTTTATCCTAAGTCTTTCTAGGTGTTTTAATTGGAAAGTGTTTATTTTTTTCTATGAATGTCATGTAGCCTTATTCCTCCATTTAAGGAGAGAAAACTCCAAAATCAAATAAATGCTGCCTTGAAGTTTGTTCTTGGATGGATAATGACTATTGAAGCAAATCCAGACAGAAAAGCAGACTGAAGTTGTAGTCAACAGCTTATTTATAGCGCATAACAGGTTGACATGTAATTCTTAATTGTGTTGGAGTTATTCCCGCCCAGCATTACAATTAAGATTGAAGAAGAAAACAAAAAAAATTTGAGAGTTATCTACCTTTCTTGCCTTTATATTCATGGATATCTTGAAAGCTCTGGAAGTCTGCAAGTACTAGTTTTAGCAGGTTTTGGGCCTGTTTGTCAGCTGCTTTGATGACATTGGCAAAACTTCCGTTACATTTCTATTAGAAAGATAATTATTAGACATTTTTCATAGCAAAGCTTTCATTATATATTTATTAGAAGGATAATTATTAGACATATTTCATAGCAAAACTTCCATTATATTTCAATTAGAAGAATAATTATTAGATATTTTTCATATCAAAACTTTCATTGAATTTCTGTTGAGAGGATAATTATAAGATATTTTCATGTCAGATGTTCCCCTATAATTTAGTCATTAAGGTATCTAAGACAAATTAGCACAGCTAGACTGATATTTAATAAAACAAATCTGAGAGACAACTAAAATAGACTATAATCATTTAATTTAAATGAACTGGTTAATGCTGGTCTAACCATTGTAATCTCTACTTCATCTGCACCAAAACTGGATAGTGATAAATCCACTTCTTTTTACAAGCTTTTATTTAACTCACTTCCTTTGTCCGTCGTCAGTCTGTCTAGATCGAAACGGCCGAGAAAAATTACGGGCACTTCTAACTGACAGATACGGTTCGTAGTTGGTACGTGGGTCAAGACATGAAGACAATGCATCATGACATTAAATTTGTCTTAATTGGTTGCCTAATTAACTTTTTATGAATTAATTAAAATTTTGTCCAAATTAGTAGGCTGTCTCATCAAACTATTCTGCGCTATTAGGCACGCATCATCACATTCATTAGGGCGTCATCACGTTCAATAGGTGCGCAATGGTTTTTAGTCATGCAACTCTAATGTAAATAAAACATGTAAGAGTACTAAAAAAATTCATAAAAAACATTTTAATAACAAGCTTTTATGTAATAATGCACTAAAAAGTAGAAAATAAATTATACACTACTATTTAAATTACTACAAAGAAAAGCAAGGGTCTCTTCCTAAATATTATTAGTAAAGGTATCCAATAGATACTAAAGTGACCCACGCTTTTCTTTATAGTAATTTAAATAGTAGTGTATAATTTATTTTCTACTTTTTAGTGCGTTATTACATAAAAGCTTGTTATTAAAACGTTTTTTATGAATTTTTTTATTATTCTGTTAGATAATGATGCTGCACATTAACAAGTTACATGTTGAGTAAGATGTTTCAAACTGTGGACTTACTTCATTCAAAACTTTACCAGCTTCCAATAACACCCTGTGCCTTTCTTCAAGCAGCGGAATATCAAAGTCAGAATCTGATCTGAATATTGTCTTCATTGTATTCAGGTCTATGGAAGCATAGTAGGATGGGCTTGTAATGGCATATCCCTCCTGTGGATTTAAAGACCCAATATTACAAGTGATCAGCTATAAACTGGTTCAGATGACTACGATTAGTTGAATAGAATAAGTAGTGAATGAAGTTTATAAAATATATTCCATTAACAAGAAATAGCTGAATGGATGTACGTCTACAAACCTGCTGATAACATCAATAAGTGGTAAGTTTTAGTTTTTAATGTATTCTATTGACATTAAATAGTTGAATGGACATACATATAGAGCCCTATTTTTACTTTCTCGTATACTGAGTATAGAGGAAGTATTGTAATCGTGCACAAAAATCACATGAAATTTTGAGTTTTCATTATTTTACACCTCAGTGCTTCATCACATACAGTGTATAGAGGACTTATTTTAATCTGGCAAAAATTATAAATACAGATTTATCAAAATTTCTGTGATTTATGCATTATTGAGTCAAAAAAACTGGGCTTTGCAATTATGTCCGTATTTCTGTGTGTGTGTATTCTATTTTAAAAAGTTTAAGTAATTAAAAATGGATTAAAAATCATGTCTATATCCCGAGTTGCCATCCCCCATAGTGTTATATAAGAATATTAGAGAAATTTTAGGGGAGATCACTCCCACTTTATTTTTCTTCTTTTTCATTCTTAATTGTAATGTTGAATGGAATATTTCCAACAACCCAATTAAGTTTTATGTGTCAACAATATAAAGCAGCAGTTGTTTGATTTTGGAGTTGTCTCTCCTAAATGGGTTGCTGTCCCCAACTATTGAACCTTATCTGCCCGGGGGTTTGAACTCAGGACTTTCAGTTTAGCAATCATGAGCTATCCTGACCACGCCAACCTCCTAGAGCCCTATTGATGGCCAAGAAATTGTTCTTAAGTCAAGAAGTTGAAATGACTCACATCAAGAGCCCTGTTGATAGCTGCGACCAGAGCCCAGTACCCAGAGTGCTCCTTGCCCTTGTACTTGACCAGATACTTCTCTGTGTCTTTCTCTGACCAGAAGGAAAAATTCAGGACAGCTGTCACAAATACCCTGTCAAGTGAAAAGGTAATATGACCATTAGCACTTTGTCAGCTTGTTGAATACTCTGTTCACTAATACGTTATAATAAAACTAGTTCTTTTCTCAGCAACGATAATGTGATGTACATGTAATATAAATATTTGCATAAAAATACACCATTTAGCATACTTGTGAATGTATAGCTAGGATTGCTAATGCAGCATCACTAAAACTTATCCAAATATCTATTGCTAGCCTGACCCTATGAATATTTTTTTTCTCCAACTACACCAATATGTGTAGATGGTATATTTGTAAGAAATGTTAGTAATAATTTAGTTTAGTGCTCAGCAGACACATCCTGTTCATCAAATATTAACTCTGTACATTGAAGAAAATTTTACTGGCTAATTAGCTCGTTAATTTAAAAGTGAGCTCACCAGTTGACAGCCTCTTCATCCATGGTCTGGACATTTAACTCGTGGCGACGCCAAATTTTCACATCAAATTTCCCAGACTTCACTTTCTCATACAGCTGCAATAATGAACTATTTTTCAATGTCCAATGTTTTTATAAAAGTGTAAGAAGGTAAACCAGTTTTAATAGAGAATATTTTTTGTTCTAAATTATTTTATGGATAGAATGGGATTAAAGCATATTGTTATCTTAAGGATTACACATTGAAAAAGTCTAAAGCATTTTTTTTATTGATGAATATGAAGTAAAGCTCATAAGTTTTATTGTGGTTTGGCATATTAAGAGACTATATGAACAAGTGAACAGTATTGTTACTTTTCGCAATATGCTTAGGTTTGCATATCAGATCTGGGTAGACTAAGGGATGTTGAGTAAAAACAATAAATGAAAAATACTTACTATCACTGCTAACTGCTGAACCCCTTTGTCTAAAATAAAAACATCTTTGCTGTTTTCTGTTATATATTGTCCTGATTCTCTAGGACCCATAACTCCTTCCATTTTTGTAGCTTTGTCACAGGAAATGGTTTGCACTATAGTAGAAGAGTAATAATAGATCTAATTTCAAAAATTGTAAGTGCATATACTTTTACCAGCGTCCGCCTCTCCTCCCCCCCCCCCCCCCTCACCGGAAAATGTTGTCCACTCCCCTGAAAATATCAAGTGCACCCCTGGGAAAAAGTCTGGAAGAAACACTGATAGGCATATATTCGCCTATATATAATTATATATAATTATATATGTAGCCCTATAAGCTATATAAATAAATATAATATATATATATAATATATAATAGGCCTAGGCCTATATAATATAATATTAATATATAGATTCTATGTATGATGAATTATGAAAGTTACAGTTATGTGTGTGAGTTTGTGTGTCTTATTTTTTGTTTTCTTTTTAACTTTACTTTTGTCATATAGAGTCTAGGCCTATTTTTTTATTTTAAATTTAGATTTTACTTACTTAGTGCATAGATTCTATATTTTTTAGTTTGTCTATTATAAACTATAATAATATAGGCCATTTTATTATAGTTTATAGGCCTACTGACTCAGTACTACTGTGAGTACTCAGAAGTACGTTACGTAGTATTACGTACTGAGTACTGAGTACTCACAGTTCACATTTTTAGTCAGTAGTAGTACTGAGTACTGAGTCTACAACTACACTCTGACTCTACTATAGTACTATAGTAACTAACAGCACTAACTTTTCGGTATAGGCCTACTCAGTCAGTACTTTCCTTTGTCCGTCCGGTGAAAATAAATTTATTATACTTCATGCCATCTGCATTTAGAATGATTTACATAAGCATACCATGCAACAGTGTATTCTACCTTTAGTAGTTTGTATATGACGAAATGTGGTTGTGTGAGCTAATTTTTAATATCGAAAGCGGAAGTGTAATCAAAAAATTGTGAGAGCCGCTGTTCGAAGCAACCAAGGATGCTAAATAAGGGTGCCAGGTCAAAATGGTTGTAGCTGAACCATTCAGGCGACGATGCTCATGCGGTGAGGGTGAACATATTGGCCGCGGGTTGACGGGAAAGATGAACGTAGTCAGCGTAAGTATAGACGTTCACAAAAGTAAATCTAAAATGAATAAATGAACAAAAATAGCTGCCTAGTAGGCTAGAGAACGATTTTTAAAACTAGAGGATATTTCTTAATAGGCAAAGCATTTACGCTTTATAAGCTACTTTATATAAATTCTAGGCTAAACTTTTTCCGTGCTGTTCTTACTCCCTGCAAATCAAACCTCAAATATAGAAATATAGTAATAAATGTGCGGATTGGCGCAACCTTTCTGTCTGTTAAATATATAATTAAAATATAAACCTATTAAACAATAACTCATTAGAGAGCAATAAACCTTGAAGAAGTAGGACTAGATTGTCACCTTTTTACGGCAGAGGATGGGCTTGAGTCTTAGTGTGATCCTAATAATATTTTTAATAAAACGTTTTTTTTAAAGTAATCCTAGGTATGTTTAACCGACATAAACGCAAAAATGAATCAATTATCTATCACAAAATAATAAAAACTAAATTATATAGGCATATATTATATATATATATATATATATATATATATATATATATATAATATATATATATATATATATATATATAATATATATATATTACATATATATATATATATATATATATATATATATATATATATATATATATATATATATATATATATATATATATATATATATATATATATATGAAGGGCTCAGTGGAAAAAGTACTTAAGTGTATTTTGAGAGTTTTGAGAAAAATGAGCGCAAAGTTTTTAAATTGTTATTAAAATACCAAAACAGCTGATGCAGAGTATTCAAATTAAGCTACTTCGGTACTTTTTCCATGGCCCAAATTTACAGGGATGGTTAAGGGGAGATAGTCAAATAATATACCGGTCTTAACTCATTTTTGAAAAAATGTAACTTAAGTACTTTTTCCACTGAGCCCTTCATATATATATATATATATATACGCATATTATTTAAACTTACCGGCAAATTCTTTCTCGCTTGCTACTAGAATTTTCTTTTAAATACAGCAGAAGATAGAAGTTCACTTCCACACCATGTGTTAAGTACCGAACTACGTTGCAATGTCGTCGTGTATCTGGAGGTGGGGGGCGGAGGGTCTGTAAGTAGTGTATTGACTTAAACGTCGCCTCAACGTTTTTGAAGATAACGGACGGCAGGGGGGGGGGGATAACTAAATGCTTAGAACACCGATGCAGCGTATCGAAGACACCTATTCGATCGTATCGTTACCTAATCTAAATCCTAACCCTAACCAAAATCCTAACACTATTTTAACCGCTACCAAATTCTTGATCCGCAGCCCTGACGCTAACTTTCACCCTTACATCGATACCGTACCGGCGGGGGGGGGGGGGGGGGGGGGGGGAGAGAGAGAGATCTAGGTTCGATACTTTATTGACCGACTACCGTCCGTCATTTTTTTTTCACAGACGATTACAGTTTAGACATAATTTATCTTTAGGCATCACGCAATATAGGGCAATCAGCGGGGGAAAAATAGGACAAAGAACAATGTCGGAGATTTGAAAGGTGTGTCGTTCACCTGTAAGCGTCGTGTGTGATATCGGCTAGCGAGTGAGTTCTAATTAATCCCATTTCTCATCACTGTAAATATATTCACTCGTACGAAGCTATTTTGTCTTGATACGATGGGGGGGGGGGGGGGGGGGGGGGGGGGTAAAAGGGTGAGAAGAAAAGTCACGGAACAGGTCAAAGGGGAAAGGTTACAAGGCACGGGTCATAATGACCTCACAAAAAAAGAAAACGTCACAAGGGGAAATAAGTCAAAGGGAGAAGAATCAAAGGGCATAAACTCGCTGGGAAAAAGAACTGAATGATTTATCTTTTCCTAACTTGACCCCTTGAACTAATCATAAATACTAAAAAAAAAAAAAAAAGATCTAGCCCAAGTTATAGCTTCCATAATAACCTACTTGAATACACACACACACACACACACACACACACACACACACACACCTAATGCTAGAGACTTGTTCGTTGCAGTTAATGAACCTCCCACCTCATCACATAAAGAACTACCAAACCAACCTCCCCCCTCCCCGCCCACCTCAACACCATTAATCTGAAACCCTAAGGTAGACGCTAATCACAAAAAGCAAGATCCCCACCTTCTAAAATGGTATGATAAAGCAACATCACTTTATTAATTCTGAAAACAAAAACACCCTGGATCTATAAATAATGAGCATGTTTTTACAACAACAAAAAAATCATTGCTCTTTATCAATTACAAATAAAAACTGCTGAATCACATTTCATGCATCATTCCCCCACAAACGTTTTAACATTCCCCCCACCCAAGATATGAGATCACACACGCACATACACACACACATATATACACACATACTCAAACACACCAAAATGTTTGTCGATTTGGAACTTTCAATCCTGTAAAGCTAGTGCCTCTGACGAATATAAAGCACAAACCTAAAACCTTGACTTAAATTGCGTACACTGAGTACAGCTATTCGCGTGTAACAACAGAACTCATGCATAGATAAAAAAACAAAATCTTGTGATACGAATCTACTCCCTCCCCGGCCCGCTCCTTCATTATTTTTCAAAATTTCCTTGTTCAACCATGACATATTGAGTTCTTGGTGATTGCGATTCGTATTGGGAAATCCGCTTCAAAATGTATGGGGAAACATTTCTGTCTGACCCCGGTAAATAGCATAATGAATTCCTGATTAAGAAGTTATTACAATTTTTATGAAACAGCTTTACATACCGAGAGGCTATGGTATGTTAAATGTTTAATTGCATGGTTTAAAAATATTCTAAAAGCACTTAGAAGATTAACATTAATTACATTAATTATTTAGTTGTTGCAAAAATATGTAAATAACCCACTTATAAGCACAATTTAAAGGAAATAATTCCTCAAGTGGAGGATAACTCAACAACAAGAATGGTGTATGCGTGAAGTGGTTGTTTTATTTTTATTTTAAGCACAGGGAAATTTATTCTTATAAAACTACTAAGGCTAAAGTACTTGACCTTTAGCCTACATTTTCTCTTAGCATAAGCATTTTGAGATTAAATGGGGCAGGGGGGGGAGGGGGGGGGGGGGTAAATATCTTTCGTATAGAAGGAGCTTTTGATGGAGAAATACTGTACTGTAATTCTTAGAAAGTACCAATACTACCAAAAGTAGTTACGATAAGCTAGGAAAAGTAATCAGGTGTCAATGATATAGAACTGATGATAATTAACATATTTGTGTTGTAGATAGTGGCCCTAATTAGAAGAGGAGAGAAGGAGTTCCCTACAACTGATGGAACTTGAAGAATATTATACAAAATTGCTTTTAGTACATTTACAGCGAAAACATAAGCCTGTCCCAAATAAAATAAGTTTTTTTTTTTTTTTTTTTTTTTTTTTTTTTTTGAAGATGATGAAGAAGAAGAAAAGCTTGTAAAAAGAGAAATGCTTTTTAAAATGTAAAGAACTACTGTATTTTATATTATGGTGATTATTTAAGATGAAATAAACCTGGATTTTAATGTTCGGCGGTAAAGCCCGTTCGAGTTCATAATTATTTTGTTAAAAACCAAAACTATTAAATGATGCTTGTCGAGGTGTGAACATTTTATCGCTTCTAGCTTCCATCGTCTGACCCTCTCTTTTAAAGTTTTCGTGTAAACAATGGAAACACAGGATATGATATCATGTCATCCTCACTCTCCACCCACCTTCCCTCAAAATATGTTATTGCGTTTTAGTGTTTGAAAGAACAATAGTATTGTGAAATTTTTACTATATTATTATGCTTAGCATGAGTTGTTCAATGCTTTGCGGACTTGGGTCAGTGAGTCATTACACTGTCTACTGACTGGTAGGTCACCTAGTTCCTGTGTCATCCTTTAGGTAGCTTCTTTTTTTTTTTTTTTTTTTTTTTTTTTTTTTTTTTTGTATACAGACCTAGAGATCTATAGGGCATGAAGTATAGTTAGTGTTTCTCGGCCTCGGCATATGAAGGGATGGTGTGGTCAGCGCAAAGACGCCTTTTACTTTCCCCCCAACGTGAGTCAGGTACTCATCAGAGCTGGTTAGACTCAGGGACTTTCTACAGTCCCGAGTCCTGACCTAGATCCGAACTTGGGATCTTTGGGTTAGTAGTCAACGACTCTACCATTCGACCACATCATACGTTTTTGTACAATGTTTAGCCTAAAAGAGATCACAACAACTCCATGTAACTAAAGACAGACAAGCCTTGACGAAGAGCCATGCACGAACAAGGAAGGAAGATTATTACACAACCAAAACACGAACACAAACTCAAGGCAAACAGAAACACAACCCTGATGACTTTTGTTTCAAAGGGTTTTTTTTTTATAAATAGAACACGTTCCGCCAGTGGCGTAGGCAGGGATAGGGTGGGGGGGGGGGTTAAGGGGGGGGGGGGGGATCATACCCCCCCATAGACACCTCGGTATATATATAAAGTATGAGGGGGGTGTAATTCGAAAGTTTGTGAGGGGTGGTGCAAATCAAAAGTTTGAAGGGGGGTGCAAAACGAAAGTTTGTCCCCGGGGGAAAAATTTGAACCCCCCCTCCCCCCCCCCCCCCCCCCCCATGAGACGATCCTGGCTACGCTACTGCGTTCCGCGAAGTAAAAATAAACTTTTTTTTTACTTCGCGGATCTCAAAATCAGTCACGCGGAGATGAGATTCCATTGTTGTAATTCCTGCAACTTGTATTTCTGCAAGGTGGAATACTAGGTTATAAATAAAACATAGTTTATGTTGTCTTAAATTACTGAAGCAATGGAGTAATAGGATGGGGAGGGGCTTTTTCTTCCAAACATCTTTCTTCCATCAATCCAAGGGGGAACTCTCTCCCCCATTGGACGAAATAGAAAATGTATAGGCCAGTAAATATAACTGATAAAGAAAATATACTTTAACCAACACATATGTAACTTTTTTTTTGCAAACACACATTATTGAACTATTATACGTCATCAAAATTACGGCCTTATAGTTTGTTTATGGGACGGTGTGGCCTAGCGGTAGAGCGCTAGACTGCTAAAGACTCGAGTTTGAATCTGGGTTCAAGTCAGTAGACCGTCCCTGAGGCCACCAGGCTCTGATGGGTACCTAACCCTCGTTGGGGAAGGAAAAGCAGTTGGGTATAGTGCTGACCACACAATCCATGCATATGCCGAGGTCACAGAAACAGGTGAACTCTACTTCACTTTATGACCGTCAGGTTTAGAAAAGCAATTTTACTTACTTTTAGTACTTTGTTTTGATAACAATGAAATGTATTGTAATATATAGAGAAACACATGCCATTTTCTGGGAATTCAGAATGTCAAAATACTTGAGAAAACATGTCTTATATTATTACGGTTGGTATGGAAAATTTCATAAAACAGTATTAGCTTCCTGTTACCTTACTTAAAGAAACTATTTTCTGGGGATGGATTAAGTACGTTTAAATTACCCACCCCTCACCCCAATCAAATTAGTTTGCACTGTTTGCTAGAAAATGTGTCGACTCTCTTGTTTATTATTCAATCAGTAAAATGCCACGCCTGTCGTAAACGTTAACATAAAGGCTGTTTGCCATTGTGTTGATCACAAATTTCTTGTGTGGCATATAGCCAAGGAAACAGAAGAAGTCTGCGTAACCCATTCAACCTACCCTCCACGGCACACCTCAATACCATGTCACAGAAACCGCCACCGACACCCCACCTCCATCTTGACCACCAATCTCCACCCCCTCCCCTTACCACCACAATGACCACTATCACCCCCCCCACCACCCGTCTTCACCCCCTACAACCTGCACCATTTTCACCCCAACATCCAAACATGCATCATTATTACCCTCAACATCAACACCATTACCACTATTACCCCCTCCCCCAAACATACACCACGCACATCAACTCATTCCACACCTTCATTCCACACACCCTACACATACCTCCACTCCAGCTACACCACCCCCCCCCCCCCCCCCCCACACACACACACACACATACATTTTACAAACACCCCCTCCCACTCCACATACACACCGACTCTGTATATCTTTTTTTTTCTAAAAAATAAAACAGAAAATGAAAATAATTTGATAAAACCCCCCATCAGGAAATAAATCAAGCTCACATCACGACACCATAGACAACACAATCTGATCAGAAAATAGGAAGTTGTTTCCAACATATTTTTTTTTTCTTTGTCACAACCAGCCTAGCAGGACCCACCTTAGTTTAATGAGTCGTTGGGTTAAATCTTCCCCAGTTAAACAAAACAAAGTTGACACGCGTGTTGGTCTGTTGAAATAGTTTTTACACACAGACGGATGTAATGGAGAAGTGACAATCGCTCAAGCGTACCACCATGTTGAGAGAAATAAACTAGTTGTAGCAAGGATGTAACTAGTAAGTTCTGTTTCTTAAATACTTACAAGTTTCATTGGCTTTTTCTTAAATAGTTATATCTATATTTCGATGCCTTTGTTTAAAAAAATACATTTTTGAATAGCTTATGCTTGTATAGTTTCATTTTTCAACAATTTTTATTTTAATTTATAGTATTATTTACATATACCTAAGTCTAGTTTTAAAGTGTTGGACGGAGTGGCCTAGCGAAAGTCTCAAGTTCGAACCCGGGTGGAACGTCCCTGAGTCCACCCAGTTTCGATGGGTACCTAATTCACGTTAGGGAAAGTAAAGGCGGCTGTGTATAGTGCTGACCACATTATCCCTTCGTATGCCGAGGTCAAGAAACATAAACTCTACTTCGTTTGCCCAATGGATCACTGGGTCTAAAGAGGAATCTTTACTTTACTAGTGTTGAAGTATCAAGTGCCCCCCCCCCCCCCCGGTTAAAAAATGTAGGAACGAACCTTGTTTCATGCTTGAGTAGAATTGTGATGCAGCTCTTAAAGTAGTGTTAAGTGGGTAATTAGTTAATTAACACTATGTGTAGTAATGTTCGCCAAAATAGAATTTTAGAAAATGTATGGCAGTAATTAAGCCAGTAATATCTCAATTCGCTTTATTTAATTATCCCTTCAGTGTTATTCAATTTCGCGTAAATAGAATTAGATTAGAACGTAAGGGCTACTTTGTCACAAAGTGCCCCAAAACCGATGACGTCATTGCCCGTATTGTTCGTGTTTGTCGTCACCCTCCGGCCATGGAAAGCGATAGAGAAAACTAAATAGACACCTTTTGTCTGCGCTCAATGGTAGGTTTAAGTGATATTTATGGACAAGTTTGGGGTAGAGTATACTCTTCCCATATCAAGAAGGGGAGGGGTGAGTGGGGAGGGTGTGGGGGGCTGATGTATTGGAGAATGTCAATGCTGTGTGAAGATAGGTGTATCCCCCTCTCACCCTTGGGCTGATAGGTACTTTGACACGCTTGGGTGGGTAAACAAACAATACCGACCCGTCTACGTGGGGACCTTCGGCTTGTCCGTCAACAATAGACTTCCTGTCCGGTGTGGTCAGCGTCACATCTGGTGTTCAACCTTCACCTTGGCTACCCATGTTTAATTAAAAGCCCCCTCTCGCATACCTTCGCTTATTCAACTAAGACATCACCCAGCGAAGACTACTGACCACCAATCTATCATTTTATTTTTCATTGGCTCTAGATGCGGATATGACGTCGTAAAAACAAATCTCAATTTGCAGACGACACTTGGTCGCGTCTACCTGATCTCAGGATACCCGATGACCATTGCCCAGTCTAGACAGACAGTGCGGGCCACTTCTCTTACATGTTCTAAGTCATACGGTATGTGTCACACTTGTATATTTATTCTCTAGAAATTATATTGATACTGACTTATTTCTCTAGAAATTATATTGATACTGACTTATTTTCTAGAAATTATATTGATACTGACTTATTTTCTAGAAATTATATTGATACTGACTTTAACAACCAAAAATAAAAATACACTTTGTTAAAACTAGATATAAATAGATTGTCACTTTCATATATTTATAAAATTGTTACAAAAACAAAAAATAAACTTTTAACACTTTGCAAAACTAAGTACACTCACTTTCACATATTAGACTTATGTCATTTTTCTTCCCAGTCTATCGTTAAAGTAACTTAAATCAAATATTGTAACATGTAACGCATGTTTAAAAGTTGTCCTTGTTCTACTTTACCAATGTTGTATTATTTAATTCAGAGAGTGACAGATAGGCTACTTACAATACTCAATTTGTGTCTAGTATACAATGTAGCATATCCTTCCATTAGTACATAGCTAGTAATATACAGATAGAGACATATGCCAATATATTCATTAGAAAATTTGTTGGTATTACAATCTCGTTCTGATTGATAGTTCATAGTTATAGAGAGTTAAAAATAGAATATTTCACCTTATGTAAATATAGAGATATTCTATTTAAAAAGTATGCATATTCCATGCCCTGCGGCTAAAGCAGAAGAAATTAAATAAAACAAACAGGTGTTTATGCTTGAGAGAATTTACTTTGTAGAGTGTTGGTAAAATGCGAGATGCGAAACGTTTATTGCCAAGGCGGTAAAATGCGATGAGAAAATGCGAGATGTGTTCAGCAGATTTGCAAGGGGTGTGTGTGGAGTGAGCAGATTCTCATTCATTTTACCTCAACATTTTATAACTCCGTCATTGCCTAAAAAAGTATAATGTTCACCCTAATTATTCATTCTTGACCTTAAAATACCATGGTTGGTGATTAATTATTGAAGATGAAAATAGTGTATTGCGCTATAGTGTATTGCGCTGTTTAATTTATAGAAATGTTTCACGACGTTTCGTATTTCGCAATGACACTCACCGGTACAGCATTACATCTTTACGCCAAACCTTAAGAGTAGACTATTTCCTTTTGTTTTCTTTACCAACAGGATGTAACTAGAGGTGCTATATACTTACCTCAAGTACTAGTAGCTGCTTAATGCTCTAATTTTACAAGCACAAAGTACTAGTAACTGCTTAAGATAAAGCATCAGTGTTTAAAAAAAACAATGCTGATTGTATCTTCCTTAAAGTGTGATTAAGGAATAGATGAATAGTAACCTATATAATGGGATGGTAGCTGAGCCGTCTATTTAAGACTGACAAGCTTTGTAATAAAATTTAATCATTTAACAACTGTTATTACCCGATAATTTACACATTTCAACTTGAAAACCTAACATTTCTATGATAGCAATTGTTAGCTGTTTTCAATGTTTAAAATTCCACTATCTATTATAGGTTTACCAGTTAATTTTTTTTACAATTATTTATCAGACAAAGCTTTTGTAATAATACTTTTCTTTTAAACATTTTCACAGATTGCACATCATTAAAGACATTTTTAGACAACCAGTCTATAAGACATCTGTCTACAACATCAAACTAAAAGACACCTGTCTACAACATCAGACTAAAAGACATTTGTCTAAAACATCAGACTAAAAGACGTCTGTCTACAACATCAGACTAAAAGACATCTGCCTACAACATCAGACTAAAAGACATTTGTCTACAGGACACCTGTCTACATCAGACTACTAAAAGACACGTCTACAAGACACCTGTTTACAAGACACCTGTCTACATCAGAGTACTAAAAGATATCTGTCAACAAGACATCTGTCTACAAGACATCTGTCTACAAGACACTTGTCCACTACAGACTATAAGACACCTGTCTAAAAGACACCCGTCTACAAAAACAAACTACTAAAAGATATCTGTCTGCAAGACACCTGTCTAAAAGACACCTGTCTACAACAATAAACTACTAAAAGACATTTGTATACAAGACACCTGTCTAAAAGACACCTGTCTACAACAATAAACTACTAAAAGACATTTGTATACAAGACACCTGTCTATAAGACACCTGTCTATAAGACACCTGTCTAAAAGACACCTGTCTACAACAATAAACTACTAAAAGACATTTATCTACAAGACACCTGTATACAACATCAGACTACTTCAAGACACCTGTCTCTGCTGTCTTGCATAGAGCCGAACTCACCCTCTCCCGTTAGATGGCCTTATCCAAAGTCCTCCACAATGGCTGGCTGACTAAGTCCCCACCAGAGAAGAAGATGAACCCGACCTTCAAGCTCTTCCGCTCCCAGTGGAAGAAACGCTTCTTCGTGCTACGTCAGAACACGCTCGACAGCAAGTACGAGCTGACCTACTACAAAGACCAGCAGTGCCTCACCAAGAAGGGCAGCGTCAACTTGGAGTCGTGTGAACAGGTCATCGAGTCCCTGCAGTCGGACGTCTTCCCACATCTCCTGGCCGTCAAGACGTACAAGAAAAACAAGCCCAGGACGTACTACCTCGCTGCGCAGGATGAAGCCCAGATGAAGCTTTGGATCCACTGGCTTTGTCTCGTCTGTCACTTAAAAACAGAAACCCAGCCCCGGGATAGTATGTACCAGCCTTTCACTCATCTTAAAATTCAAAACGAGGTATCTGAATTATCTCCATTGCATGTGTCGACTGATAATCTTGCTGAAGTCAGTTCACAAGATGAGAACTCAAACCAAGAAGACAGTGCTGTTGACACCCCAAACGCCCATTCACCACAGGTCAACTTACTATCCGACGGAGACATCATGCGGTGTCTGTCCAATTTTTCTTTACTCCTCAATGAATCAGCCCACAGCTCATTGTCAGAGTTACTTGAACAGGACTTGAATACAGTTCATGAAACCCCAGCCAACTTGCCCTCTGTTCATGAGTACTCCTCCATAGATCCAATCTACTACAACTCTTATCACGAAGACTCTAACATACACCAAAGCGAGGCTGGACCTCACGACGAAACACCAGATCCCACGTATTACAATATTATCTTCAGCGACGCACCTGAAACTTCTGGTGAGTCGCAAGAAAACGAAAACCCTGGAAGTTGTACAGAGCCTACAGGCAAAACAAAATCACCAGACTACGTCCACAGTAAAGAGCCACACATCTCAACACATGAGCCATACAGCGATGTAATGGAGGCAAGTACCACAACAATAGAGCCGCCGCCTCTGTACACCAAGACAAAAAGAGCCAGTATTTTAGCTCTAAGTGATACTCACGTCCCAGACCTGATCAGTGCCATCTCACCTGATCTACTACACACCTATGGCTACGATACCCCTCGCTCCAGCCAGCTAGCAATACCTGAACAGGTATAAAAAAATTATAATCCACAACTGATACAGAACCCGCTACTTCAAGATTAGTGGTCAGCCATCTGAAAACAAGCCTCTCAAAGTTACCCTGACACTAATTGAACACACAAACTGATTTTATTATTGATCATTTTATTAAAATTGTATTTTAACTTTCACATTGGTCCTGGAATTATTTTACGCCTTGTTGTTGAAGATTACTACGAAACGGCATCTGCTGTGAACTAGCAGCCAAGGTTTTTTGGGTTAAGACCAGTGTTTCCCAGACTTTCTCCGGGGGGGGGGGGGCACTTGATAATTTCGGGGGGGGGGGGGGGGGGCGAACACTGGTAAAAGAATTTTTTCTATATCAATTCCATTTCGTTCAGGGATGGGGGGGGGGGGCGGGGCGGTAAAGATACCTGGAAGAAACTCTGTTTAAGATATTTTGCCCCTTCCCATTCCCACAACCCTAACTCGTTTGTGTAAATAAAACAAAAAATAGTATTACATTCCAAAACAATGGTTTCAAATAGAAAGTCATCAACACATATCTGAACACATGGATAATTTCCAGTCAGGGAGAAGATCAACAGAATAAATATTAATAGCAAGGTAAGATGACATACAATTGGCCTTTTACCTCAATGTAGACTGGAGATGGCCGTTGCTAAGAATCCCCCCCACTTCCGAAATAAACAAGAGAATATATAAGAGAATATATTTTTTATTTAGAAAATGTATACTGTAACCTGTGACCCTTCACTGGAGAAACATGTCTAAAATAAATTGGGGTCATAATATAATTAACTTAATACCCGATACATAAAATCATGACTATCTCAAGTTTTGAATAATGTTAGACATCTCTCCATATCTTTCTCAGTAGCTGGTGAGCAAAGACGGTCAGGCACTTTTTCATTGACTGCTATGGCTAGCCTATAACGCTGCTTGTCTGAATGCTTGAGAATAAGATATTGGGAGCTTCATTGATTGCTATGGCTAGCCCCTAGTCCATTATGCTGCTTGTCTGAATGCTTGCGAAAAAGAAAATTGGAGCTAAATTCGCAGTGTAGAGCCCTGGCATAAAATGTGTAATACTTTTTTTTGGCGACCATCTAACTCCGCAAACTGGCGAAATAATGAATACACTTGATTTGTTGATTGTGTATTAAAGTTAATTTTATCGTAAACTCATTTGTCATAATTCGATTGCTGCGTGTGCATTTCAGATATCATAAATCAATCAGTTTTATTATTGGTCATTTAGCTGATATTTACATTGAAAAATGTGCACGTGGTTGACAAATAGAAAAAAAAGTTATGGTTTAAACATTAAATCATCATTTCTTGTGAAAGGGGTCGTCCATAAAAGACGTCACACTCGTAGGGGGGGGGGGGGCCGTAATTTTTTGACGGTGTGTGATGAGGGGGGGGGAAGCAGATGGTGTGACGTCACACTTTTGCATTATAAAAAAGCAATGTTAGAAAACAAGTTTTAGCCGTTATTTCGCGGTTTAGAGAACCATTTTAATAAATTGTAATATAAATTGATTAAAATACTCTATTTTGACAGAGTTCAGACAAGATTTTGGAAAAATATCGATGTTTTAAAAAAACGCAACTGCAATTTAGAGGGGTGTTGTATGCTGAGGTGTGACGCTATTTTAGGGGGGGGGGTCTGGCTTTTTGTGACGATGTGCGACGGAAAGGGGGGGGGGGTAAAAATCGTCAAAAAAGTGTGACGTCATTTATGGATGACCCCAAACATAAAACGTTTAGTGTTTAGTTTTACAGCCCTCTCTCCCTTTACTAACCCTGTGCTGATAAACATTATGGGCCTAGTCTGCGTCAGAGATTGATAAGGGGTGTAACACACCCGCTTAGATAGTCACAATATGCCGAGTCGCGCCTAGACCTTCTGGTACACAATACCTGGAACGTTTACCAATAGTAAAACAGACGGTGTTGTATACTAAATACTTACGTATGTGTGAGTAACCATCTAGATCTATATGCTACTAAAATAATCACGAGTTTTTTAAATTCATTTTTTGTGTCGCTTCTGCTTGATTAAAAGCACTTAAAATACGTATTTATGTAGAGAAAAAAAATTTGTAAAATTGAAGACGATAATTAAATGAATGATATTTTCATTAATGTAAACACAACGTTGGTTTGATAATTACACACACAAACAGCGATTATTAAAGTCAGTGCCTCGATTCAGTGGTTTAGCGAGGTCGGGTTTGACCCGGTGCGGCACTTAATGGTGTGTCCCCCCCCCCCCAGAGGCGTAGCGACCCTTCCCGGGGACAAATTTTCGATTTGCACCCCCCCCCCCCTCCCTCAAACTTACGATTTGCACCCCCCCTCAAACTTTCGATTTACACCCCCGCCCCCCCCCCCTCGCTACGCCTTTGCTTCGATTGCAAGAGATGCCTGGAAGAAACTCTGGATACAACACGTAACGGTATTGTGAATGAGGATCAGATGGTGGTAGGAATCGGTATTTCCAGAAAGGTTAAGAAACATTTCTGTAGAATCTAGATTTAGATCAGACATTTTTCAGGTGGGGGGGGGGGTGCAGGCTAAATTTTCCGAGTGGGCGGAATCTACTAAATGTATATATTTTCTATAGAAGTGCTAGAAATACTTCGGAGAAGAAAAGCTTGAAAAAAAAAACCGGCTAGAGCTAGAATATTAAGTGAAAAAGAGCACTACACAAAAACACGAAAACTATCGAACCTAAACCAGACTACATTTACTCCATAACATATCTTAATATCATTTACTATTCATTTAGCCCCAAAATGGCACCTAAACTCAAATTGATCTACTTTGATGCACGTAGCAGAGCTGAAGTTTCAAGATTACTTTTGGCCTTGGCTGGGCAAAAATACGAAGATGTGAGAATTTCAAAACAAAATTGGCCTGAAGAAAAACCCAGTAGGTTTTACTTTGACTTACATTATTCACGTTAGTATTGAACGCAACGCTTTCCACCTTCTTTCTATTTATCTCAGAGGCGTAACGACCCCTCCCGGCGCCCGGGGACAAACTTTCAATTTGGCGCCCCCCCCCCAATATATATTTTTATATTTATAATTCAAAACTGCACTTAAAATGAGCTTTTAATTTTTTTTCCAACCCATTTAGGCGCCCCTAGGGTCGGCGCCCGGGGACATATGTACCCCCCCTTCGCTACGCCTCTGATTTATTTTTTGGGGCATATTAACAACTGATGTTAATATAATATAGTACTTTGTAATAGATGTTGTGTTATTATAGCTTAGCCGTAGATGTATCACATTTAAGGATTAAATTATATTGATTTCTTGCATGGACACAAGGGGGTTCAGTAATAGTGTTAAAACTAGTTTGTCACATTGTATTCGTATTTACCTTTATTTTAAATTATTTTATATTGGTATCAAATTGTATCACTGATATAATAGTATTTTTTTTTTCTTAGAAACTCTCTTTGGTCAGGTGCCAATGCTTGAAGTGGATGGTGTTCTCTATGCACAGAGTGTAGCCATTGAAGCTTACTTAGCCAGAGAATTCAGTAAGTACATATTTGCTCAAAAGTATTAATTAAAATAATTAAAGACATGTGCAAAAGATTCATATCCTACCATTTTATATATATATATATATATATATATATATATATATATATATATATATATATATATATATATATATATATATATATATATATATATATTGTTAACGTATCTATTTACCATTTTTTCCAAAGTTTCTCAAGCTTAAAGATCAAATCTTATATTATACCTATACCATACTAGCATTAGTTCAAGGACACTCGTTACGATAACACTCAATAGTTACTAGTAGCAGATAAGCGGGGGTGTGGAGGGGGGGGGAACAACATTGTATTCAAATTTGACAAGCTATTGGGAACTACGACCAAATGCCCAGACAAATGAATAATCACAATTTATTTTCTTCTCTGTCATCCTATATTCATTGCATAATCACTATTTGGACATGATGGTCCATCAAGTTTCTTCAATTACTAACCACGGCATATATAGGTATAGTGTGGTCAGCACCACTTTACCAAACCACCTTCACTCCCCCTCACGTGAGACTCAGGAACGTCCGATAGTTAAACTCGAGACTTATGAATCAGCAGTCGAACACTACCTGTCCATGTAGTCATGTACACGCAGAACACATTTCCCGTTACTGTGTCGTTTCCAATTATTTGTGACATTTTTTTTTGTTTGAAGATTTCTATGGTAAGTCACCTTTAGACCAACTGAAGGTAGATCAAGTTGTTCAACTCAATCAGGAATACAGGGCCAAAGCAATGACTGCACTTAAAGAAAGAGATGAAGCACGAAAGGTGAAACAACCTACTTAAGTTTCTGTAAATCACTGTGTATACTTCAATCACAGTAGTCTGTTAATCAATTTTATATTAGGCTTTTTGTTTGAAAAACGTTTGCCTGTTACTTGAAATATATGTAGTTGTACTTACGGTAAAGTTAGTTGGAGAAACATATTAGGGTGGTTAGGGCAGTGGCGTAGCGAGGTCGAATTTCACCCAGTGCGGCACGTAATGGTGTCACCCCCCCCCCCCCACCCAGAGGCGTAGCGACCCTTTCCCGGGGACAAACATTCAAATTTTCGATTTGCACCTCCCCCCCTCAAACTTTCGATTTGCACCCCTCCCCCCCCCCCCTCAAATTTGTCTCTATATATTTTGCTATTTTTTGCCTTGGTGTCACCCCCTATATGGTGTCACCCGGTGCGGTCCGCACCCCATGCCCCCCCCCCCCCCTCCGCTACGCCTCTGGGTTAGGGGAGTATTTGCACTGTTGCTTTTTTATGTTGTGGGTATGCATGCTGTATAGTTTATGCATATCCAAGAAGAACAGTTTGAAATAATATACAAATCTGTCCCATTTACTTGAACTCGCAATAGAAATTTGATATTTTATCTTCAGGCTGAGTTGATGAAGAATGTGAAAGAGGTGGAGTCGCCCTTGTATCTGGGATTCCTTGAGAAACTCTTGAAAGAGAACGGCACTGGTTATTTTGTAGGATCATCTGTAAGTTGACTGTATTCAGTATTTAACAAATCTTGTCTTAATATTTTATAAATAATTTAATTATTTGTTTTATTTCTTATTTTATGTGCATTCAAAAGCGTGTTACCATAAAGTTTTTCATATGTGCTTTACTTATTTATCTGATTTAATTAATTATGTAATAGCTTGATCTGAGATGGGGGGGGGGTTACTGCGCACGTCTGCTATCACACGTTTTTGTAATGCACATTTTTCTTTATCTCGTGATGACACTTTGTGTTTATTCTTGAACAGTGTTTCTTCCAGACTTTTTTCTCCGGGGGGGGGCACTTGAAATTTTCGGGGGGGGGGGGGGGGGGGGGTAGACTTTCTTCGAGGGGGGGGGCACTGTTAAAAGTATATATTTTCTATATAAATTATATAAATTTCATTTCGTTCGGGGGGGGGGGGGGGCGGTAGAATTTTTTCGAAGATATGCCTGGAAGAAACTCTGTTCTTAAAACGTTCACCACCCTCATTTTCGTACTTAATGCAAGCTGTTTGCATACAAGGCTACTGCCGCCTACCCCCCCCCCCCCCCCCCCCCTGGATCGTTCCGTCATCGCTCATTTTGGGAAATACTGCTTTAAGGGGTGATTTACATTCTTTTTTTTTTTACAGCTCATTTATTACTAGTGTAAATATTTTAAATATTTAATTGATATTTATAAATAAATTGTAGTTTTTACATTAGTTTACAATAAAGCTTTTAAAAATTTCCCTCTACAGCTGACGTATGCTGACATCAGTACGTACGACAACATTTTCGCCTTCACCACCCGAGGTTCATTTGTCACCAGACCTAACGATGACCTCCCTTTTCTGAAAGAACTCTTCAACATTGTTGAAAATAATGAGCGCATCAAAGCCTACCTGGCCAGTCGGAAACAAACAGAAACTTAATGTGATTGCCGGTTAGCTCAAATTTAATTGTATGCTTTTATGGAAACACGATGTTTTATTATTAGTTTTATTGCAGCTCTGTGTTATCTTCTAGATTATTCTACGTTGCAGCACTTGTTTCAGTGAATTAAAATTCCAGATCCATCTCGGCTGATACAATTTGTATTTGTATTTCTTATTGTTTGTGTTATCAAAAGTGTGTATGTAACTAAAAATTGAATGCCAAGATAACTAACTTAAAACTTTTATGCATTTTTTTTTATTAGGGCCCTATTTTTTAAAGAATATCTACTTTTTAACTAAACAGCCTGTTTAGGGTTTAATATGTTCAGTATCAAAATTCTAAGACTAAAATGAAGAAATGTGACATACATGAGTCAAATTATCTTACAGTATACAGCTGTTGTGGTACGAGGAGAAACATTTGTGTCCGCCCATAGAAAAATACACATCACACTTGCAATTTTAAAGATTACTGCTATACATTTTTAAAAAAAAATCACCAGAAACCTGATTTTCATGTTAGTAGTTTGACAGGCTGGTATGCAACATGATACAGGTCTTAGCACTCTATCCCTCCCCCCCCCCCCTCCCCCCGTCCACCACTGGAGACTTATGGATAAATGTGTTTTTGTCTAATATAATAATCACCGTTTTAATGTTTCGAAAATGCACGATTAGCCAAACCAGTTTCTTGACCAATCAATCTACGGGTCATCTATAAATGACTTCACGCTTTTTTGTACGATTTTTACCTCAAAATTGCAGTTGAATTTTTTTTAAACAGATATTTTTCCAAAATCTTGTCTGAACTCTGTCAAAATAGGGTATTTTAATCAGTTCCTATTAGTTTATTAAAGCAGTTTTCTAAAACGCGAAATGACGTCTAAAATTCGTTTTCTAATATTGGTTTTTTTATAATGCAAAAGTGTGACGTCGCACCATCTGAACCCCCCCCCCCCTTTCGCCCAATCACAGTCACAAAATAAAGGACACCCCCTCCCTCTACGAGTGTGACGTTATTTATGGACGACCCCTAGTTTTAAAAAGTATTTCTCGAAGTTTTTGGGTAGTTTTTATTGTCACACTCTCCACAAGTGGCAAGTCTCTACAAAACTGGGAATACATATGGACTTCGAGACTAATGAAACTTCACAGAAATTCAGCCGCTAAGGGAAAAAACTCACTATTTGATATGATGAAAGTTGTTGCCCCTGAGTATTTTTTAACGATCGTTACCATTGACTAACCCAGTTGTGCAACATATCGGTAGCAGGATAGACGCAGTTCAACAGTTGAGCAGTATGACCACTGGTTGGAGCCATGCTACAGTAGAGCCACCAATGACAAAAGCCACTATTTTCCCACGTTTTCTTTAACTTGCTTTCTCTGTGTGTTTCTGTGTTTGTCTTTCCAATCCAATCTTGCGATCGAAATTTCTGGCACTTCCCAGTTAGCTAGCGCGCTGAAATTTTCAGGGAAGCTTTGTTTTGGATGACAATTGAATATTCTATTGTTTTTATTACTAAATTAATCCATGGAAACATTTTATTGATCATTTTAAACCGCTATATAATTGTACCAAAAAACGTGGGGGAAAAGGGACATTACCCAGTAACTGTAATTTGATGAAAACAAGGTTCGGCACTCCCCCTCTTTTTGCTTACTGAGTAGTTGTCACGCTGTGTTTGTGTACAAACAACCATAACGTAACAACTGGTGGCCAGTATGGGGGAGACGATATGGTCGAGTGGTTGGGCACACGATTGCTATCCCACTCGACACGGGTTCAAATCTATGTGTTCTAGTCAGTAACGTATTCACACAACGTGTTTTTTACGAGTTGTCTTTTTACGAGTTGTCTTCGTTTACCCAAAAAAAAAAAGTGAAAAGATAAAATCGATAGCAAGATTTACATGCAAACAAACAGACAAACACTAAAAAGTAGAAAATAATAATCATTAAAAAAGTTTTAAAAAACCCACGTTTTCTGATTGAACTAAAAAGTAGAAAATAAATACTATACATCACAATAATGCAAGCGATCACTCTACTATAAGCTATCAAAAACGTGGGGCGCCGTGATTTTCTTACAGTTTCTAATACTGTTGACTCTCTACAAGCTCCCTAATAAAAGTCAATAGTATTATCTAATCAATAGTAATATAACTTTTACTTCGGCGAACCACGTTTTTGATAGCTTATAGTAGAGTGATCGCTTGCATTATTGTGATGTATAGTATTTATTTTCTACTTTTTAGTTCAATCAGAAAACGTGGGTTTTTTAAAACTTTTTTAATGATTATTATTAGTTCTAAGTTCATTACTTCATTGCCATTTTCTCCAGAGCTAAACATTGGACTACAGATATCCTAGTTTGATGTTGGGTATTTATTTTCACGAACTACATTAAGACAACACAATATCATTCAGCAAAAAAAAAAACTTGTAAAATCCTATTTTTTTTTATTTACATCAACTTCATCGTACTTTAAAAACATTAAAATATAATTCGACGTAAATTGTTAAAACTGTCATTCACATGCTTTTAAAAATAACATGAATTCAAGTTGAGCTCAGCAGTAAGGTAACATCACGAGTCTGATCAATCTGATAGCAGCTATGTTCACGAACTCTACCTCAGCGTTTCTTTAACTCCGGATGAGAATAATAATACATGGCCATCATGTTGAGCTTAGCATGATGTCAGCATCAACGGTTTTTAAATCCAGATAAGCCTGAGAGTCCACAGAGTCGTGAGCTTAGACATCGTGATGGTAGTTTGTTAACCTCAACGTTTCAATAGCTCATGTTAAGCTTGACAATCCACAATCATGATCGTGAGCTAAGACATGATGGTAATTTGTTTACTTCAACGTTTCAATAACTCAGGATGATTTTGACAGTACAGGGCCATCATCGTGAGCTAAGACACCATGATGGTTGTTAAGCTCAACGTTTCAATAGCTCAGGATAAGCTTGACAATCCACAGTCTAGATCGTGAGCTAAGACACCATGATGGTTAATTAAGCTCAACGTTTCAATAACTCAGGATGATTGTGACAGTACAGGGCCATCATCGTGAGCTTAGACAGCATGATGGTAGCCGTGTTGATAATCTCTTCCTCCCTGTTCTCTCCCTCTAAGTCGCCAGGCAGCCATTTTTTCAGTTCATCTAGTAGACTGTCTATCTCGGCCTGTTCATCTCGCTCCTGTAACACAAAAACAAACATTTTAAACTTTGTATCAGTTCATACAATAGTCCGTAAGACGACCTGAGTCCAGCCAGCTCCGATGGGTACCTGAAAGTAAAGGCGTCTGAGCATAGTGCTGACCAGGCTATCCTTTCGTATGCCGTGGTCAAGAAACAAACTCTTCATCACTGACCTTAAATTAAAAGTGTAATTTATACGTTGCTAAAGAAGATTGTAGAGTTTATTGCTAATTATTTTATGAGGAATTGTAAACGGATGCCAGAGATGTACAAGTAACGTAAACTAAAGACCTTTTACCTTGTAGGGATACAAAAATCAAAAAAAAAAATTACAAGTAGCCTCGGCTTACTCATCTTGCTACCGTAAAAGAAAATTATGATGTATTGTCTCAGTACTTTTAGTACAAGATATGCCTCTGTCAGTTCACATGTTCCTTTAAACAAAAAACATTTTAACAAGTTCCTATGTATCCTTATTTTTAAGATTTTAAACGTGATTGTGAAAATGGAATACGTCTTTTACAATTGTCCGGCTGTGGCATATTATGGCTTTTTGTGGTATTGTGGTAAATTTAGATCCGAGGATTATAAAGCTACGAGCCGGCCCGCGGCATAACATACGCCGCTATTTAGTTGTTTCTAATTTTCAATAATTCATAATTTGTGAATTCGACAGTACCAACGCTGACACTGAAAATATTTCTTTAAAACACTATAAGTAGCTCGTTAAGGACCATAACCCCCCCCCCCTTCCTTCCCTCCCCCCTCCCCCCCCCCCCCCCTACGTTTAAAATCGTTGGCTCTGCTTGTAAACATTTAGAGTGAACACGGCTCACTAAAACCATGTAGGGGTGGGGAGGTAGGGGGAGCGTTTGCAGCTTGTTTTCTAACGGCTCGAAGAAGAGAATTATATATATAGATAGATGGTAGCACGCGTGAAGAGAGTTCGGTTAGGGACGGTGTTCACTTAGTGGGTTTTATAAGGTTAATACTTTACTCAAGTATAGTGTATACATTACCGGTAAACTGCGACCCTTGTTAAAAAAATTTGGAGATTTTTTTTTTATATACATGGGGTGTTAGGTAACTAGTAGTTAAATATACGCACAGAGCTTACTGATGTCATTGCTAACTATCCCTAAATTTAACCCCAACCCTAATCCTAACCTAATTTATAATTATAAAACTAGTCGATTGCAATACTACTTACAACCCCCCCCCCCCCAGCACCTATTTTTAGAGGAGTCTATTATGGGACATCGGTATCCTCCATCCAACTTTTTAAAAGCCCTGTCATTCGAACATAAGGTTACAATAAGCTATGTAATCATACTAAAAAAATCAAAGCTTTAACATAGTAATCATTTTGCACTTATTTCACAAATGGTGTAAAACATTCAATTTAGGTTTGAAAAAATACTTTCTGGCAACAACCATTCGGAACCAGCTTTTCAAGCCTATTGAGAGCATCTGAATTTTAACGTTCAACTTTTCACCAGTTTCCCATAATGATAATACAATGGATTTCCATTAGGTCTTTTGTGATATAACTATATCACTAAAACTTAAACACTAATCGCTATCTCTACATCAGGACTAAACTAATATTAAAATATCCCTAACAACCCAACACCTCTACCTTCGTAAACTCCAATTGCTAGTATTGCAACAATTTTGAAATTTTAAACCTAATTATTTTTACAAGCTTTTATTTAACTCACTTCCTCTGTCTGTCGTAAGTCGTCAGTCGTCAGTCTAGACGGAAACGCAGGAGTGAAAATTCGGACAGTTCTACTTGACCGATACGATTCACATTTGGCACGTGGGTCAAGACATGAAGACAATGCAATCTGAAACTAAATTTGACTTAATTGGATGCCTAATTGATTTTTTATGAATTAATTAAAATTTGGACCGAATTAGTAGGCATGTCTAGCCAACCACACCACACGCGTCATCAATAGCTGCGCCATCACGACCACGTAATGGCTGCGTTCAAAAACCATTGCGCGCCTACTGAACGTGATATTCAGTAGGCGCGCAATGGTTTTTAGTCATGTAACTCTATTGTAGATAAAACATGTAAAGTACTGAAAAAAAATTCATAAAAAACGTTTTAATAACAAGCTTTTATGTAATGATGCACTAAAAAGTAGAAAATAAATTATAGACTACTATTTAAATAACTATAAAGAAAAGCGTGGGTGTCTTCCTTAACATTAGTAAAGGTATCCAATAGATACTAAAGTGACCCACGCTTTTCTTTATAGTTATTTAAATAGTAGTCTATAATTTATTTTCTACTTTTTAGTGCATCATTACATAAAAGCTTGTTATTAAAACGTTTTTTATGAATTTTTTTTTTTCCTTTTAGTGGCATTTTGCTCCATTGCATAATACATACTAATTACTAACTAGTTTGCAATGATGTCCAAATAATTGAACTATTCTAATTCACACAATTATGGGATCATGAACATACAATATTTTTTATCCTTCCCAACCTTATTAGCATCTTTACATTCCCGTAGAATATGACTTGTACAATATTTCTGGGACCTCCAGACACCCATCCCTTCCACCAGAGGCGTAGCGAGGGGGGGGGGCGGGGGGTGCGGACCGCACCGGGTGACACCATTTAGGGGGGTGACACCAAAGCAAAAAATAGCAAAATATATAGAGAAAAACTTGAGGGGGGTGCAAATCGAAAACTTAAGGGTGGTGCAAATCGAAAGTTTGAGGGGGGTGCAAATCGAAAATTTGTAAGTTTGTCCCCGGGAAGGGTCGCTTCGCCTCTGGGGGGTGACACCATTAAGTGCCGCACCGGGTTACACCCGACCTCGCTACGCCACTGCCCTCCACTAACGATAATTATAAATTTAATGAGATTTTTTTTTAAATTTTGAGAAACACATTTAGGAGAAAACTATCTGCAAATTCTTACTTTAAAGAATACAGGCATCCCTGTTCCTACGAATGTTATACCAGTTTCTGATAATAGAATCTTTTTTAAAAAGGGGTGTAAGGTTACTGGTATTTAACTAAAGTACACATGGCTTGCTAATATCAATGCTAACCCTAACCCTAACACCAACCCTAGTCCTACCATACGCCTAACCCTAATTTCTAACCAAAACACTAGTCGAGATTACTATACTTCTAACAACCCAACACACCTATTTCATGGAAGAGTCTAATAGCGGAAATAGGTATCCAAAATCATCCAAACAAGCATTCTTAATTGCATAAAACTTGGCAAAAAGGGTAATAAATTGGCTTAACTTCATTAAAAAGCCTGGATGGATTTCTTATACCAGTCAGATAATAAAATCTTTAAAAATGGGTGTTAGTTTACTTCTATCCATAAGCTAGACCAGATTACATTACTAACAACCCAACACCTTAATCAACCAAAACATAAAAAAAATAAAAGTTGAAAATTTAATTTAACTCACTGTTTCCACCTTTTGGATGCCTGTCGCCTGTGCTTGTTCTGTGTCGTTTTCTTTTCGGTCAGCGGTTTCATCTTTTCTCTCAGCGGTTTCATCTTTTCTATCAGTGGTTTTATCTTTTCTGTCAGTGGTTTTATCTTTTCTCTCAGCGGTTTTATCTTTTCTGTCAGCGGTTTTATCTTTTCTGTCAGCGGTTTTATCTTTTCTGTCAGCGGTTTTATCTTTTCTCTCAGCGGTTTCATCTTTTCTGTCAGTGGTTTTATCTTTTCTGTCAGCGGTTTTATCTTTTCTCTCAGCGGTTTCATCTTTTCTGTCAGTGGTTTTATCTTTTCTGTCAGTGGTTTTATCTTTTCTGTCAGCGGTTTTATCTTTTCTGTCAGTGGTTTTATCTTTTCTGTCAGTGGTTTTATCTTTTCTGTCAGTGGTTTTATCTTTTCTCTCAGCGGTTTTATCTTTTCTGTCAGCGGTTTTATCTTTTCTGTCAGCGGTTTTATCTTTTCTGTCAGCGGTTTTATCTTTTCTGTCAGTGGTTTTATCTTTTCTATCAGTGGTTTTATCTTTTCTGTCAGCGGTTTTATCTTTTCTGTCATCGGTCTTATCTTTTGACTTCTCAACCTTCTCTGTGGATACTTTAATTACAGGTAGAGAATTCTCCATCATAAAGTTATGGTGTCTTGACGCTTACTAAAATAAAACTTGGTTTCCAAATGCCGAGGTTGTAATAAAATAAGACTGATTTGCTTTTTATTAATATAAAAAACGGCGTTCGCAAGACGAACGTCTGAGCTAAAATGAAGAATCTGAGCTAAAGTAACACGCGTCACCTGATCGGTTGGCCTATTATACTATGTGAGCTTTTCTCAGTCGGTAGTGAATTTTTTTGTTATTTTTTTAAGCGTGGAAAATGTTATTCAAAGTGAGATTTATCTCCCTTTACAACACACATCAATTAGTGTTTTCAAAATGATTTGGTGAACACCAACTCACTGATAATTTCTATTAGTTCCCATGATAGTTATTTCCCCTTTTTGTAATCACTTAGAATCTTAAGCTGTGACCCAGTGACACACTACATGACTAAATGTAGTAGCAAAGGCGTAGCGAGGGGGGGGGCGGACCGCAGCGGGTGACACCATTTAGGGGGGGGGGGGGTGACACCAAGGCAAAAAGTAGCAAAATATATAGAGAAAAACTTGAGGGGGGGGGGTGCAAATCAAAAATTTGAAAGCTTGTTCCCGGGAAGGGTCGCTACGCCTCTGGGGGGTGACACCATTAAGTGCCGCACCGGGTAACACCCGATTGATCAGTTTAAAAAAGCAAGGGAATTAACCTTGTGATTTCAATAGGTACGGAATATTTTAATCAAGTATTCTCCCCTTGAAACAGCCATTAGGTTTGCTTTAGACAATTTTTAGATCTTAGAAAATGTCAAGACTAGTAGGTTAAAAACTATTGTCCGAATGAGTAACACATTTTGAAGATCTATATATTTAAATAATTAACCAGAAAAATGAAATTAATTAAAAAATCAATTTCTAGTTGTCGAGAGCTAACTTTTACAGTTGTTTTTTTTTTATTCTTTTTAAAATACGACTACCCTACACGTTGCGTTTGTGCAGAACTAGTTATTAGCCGTGGTATAACATATGAGTTAAAGCAGACAATTTTTTTTTAAATTAATTTCAGACGCAGGAATCATTTGAATTCATGTTTTTATTATGTTGAATGAAGAAAAGAAAATTTTTAATGTAATTTTTAAAATAAAAAATTAATTACTGCAAAAATCAACATCACACACATATATATCTACAGTATATACATAGTAGTTCCACATATACAGATAAACATAAATATACACAAAAAAGAAAACATAATTATAATGACAAAGATAAAACAGCAATTAGTAAAGATAAGGAGATGGTAAAGTTTTGAGTGAGGTAGGGATAAGAATACGACAAGTACAAATGAAACTAAAAGATGTAAATGGGCTAAAGCATAAGAATAGCCACATTAGGAAACGATACTGGAATAATAATTGATACTGGAACTGTCTATCAGAAATATTGAAACAGTCAGTCATATTTCTAGTGTCGTTCACATAGTCGATTTATTTTCAGTTGACCCATTAGGAATTGTCGAACCAGAGATCTAGAATTTTCCACTCAGGAATATAGACTAGTAATGTCCCAACTTGGAATATAGACTGAATTACCCAACCAGGAATTTAGAATACTCCACTCAGGAATCGAGATCAGATATGCCCAACCAGATATCTTAAATGTTCCACCTCGACATAGTATGTGTCAATCTAGGAATCTAGAACATTCCACTCAGGAATCGAGACTAGAATTGTCCCATTCAAGGTCCTGTTTCTCCTCCACCAGCTTGGTCCATCTGCTCCGGGAGCTATAGATGTGCACTACGGCTAGCAGCAGGAGCAGGAGCAGGATGCTCACGCACGCGATAACCAGGGGCACGAAGTACATTCTAGAACCGCTACCGGAATCCTCTGACGCATGCGTGTCTAGGATCTGGCTCACCATCTGCACGCTTGACTGAATATTCGAGGTGGGAAGTGACGAACTCTCAGCCGGAGCGTAGACGACAACTTTGATGAAAATTGGTTTGGACGCCCGGCCTTCACAATCGGTACCGACCACGGCGAAGAAAAAACTCGATCCGTTGGCGTACTGCAAAGGATGCTTGTTTTTCAAAACTCCGGTTGAGGAAATATCAAAAGGGATATCGTCATTTATAATCTCGAAGAAACAAACAGAAACGTTTGGTTTGGGGAACTCCAAATCTGTAGGCTCCACCTTCAAAATGGCGTCGTACATTTTACCCTCGTTGACGTAAGCGACGTAGGTCTCCTTGACGAACCTGACGTCATCGTTGGTTTCTATGACTTTGATGAGTAAAAAAGCTTTGGACGAGCGCCGGACCGGCGTACCGCAGTCCCGGGCGACTATTTCAAGTTTGTAATACCGCCTCCTGTTGACGTTTAGTTTTTCTCCTGCTTTCACGCGCACTTCCGCCGCGCCGATGATTTTATCCGTGACGACAATCTCAAAGGGGACGCTACTCTGGCCGTAAATATTTCGTCTGAGAATCAAATAGCTGCAGATAAATTGTCCGCTACCCGAGTCGTCTTCATCGTACGCTGTTAGTTTGGGTTCGAGGTGGACCACAGTTTCGTTTTCTCGGATTTTCCCGAACAGCACGGGTTTGCCCTTGACGAACTGGTTGGACCAAATGACCGGATGGAACCGGTTTTCAGTGGGTGAAGCCTTGTATGTGTTGATAAAGGCAGCCATCACAAACATCAGTGTTGGTATCATCATGGCTAATCTACGGAAGATATGAACATCTTTCATCATAAGTTTAAGCCATTATAAATCAATCAATTGTTTTTTTAGAATTGTGATTTAAACATACAGGTCAGACAGAGAAAATCACAATATGGGTCATCACGCTTTTTTGGACGATTTTTAACCCCCCCCCCCCCCATCACCTCCGTCACATTGTCACAAATAGCCAGACCCCCCCCCCTAAAATGACGTCACACCTCAGCCTACAATCCCCCTCAAATTTGAATTTTTCATAAAACATCGATATTTTTCCAAAATCTTGTCTGAACTGTCAACATAGAGTAATTTAATCAATTCCTACTACAGTTAATTAAAACGCGAAATAACGTCTAAAATTCGTTTTCTAACATTGCTTTATTATAATGCAATAGTGTGACGTCGCACCATCCAACCCCCCCCCCCCCTCATCACACACCGTCACAAAATTACGGAAGGGTGCCAGAATCCCTATTGGGAAGGGTGCCAGAATCCCTATTGGGAAGGGTGTCAAAATCCCTTTTGGGAAGGGTGTCGAAATCCCTATTGGGAAGGGTGTCGAAATCCCTATTGGGAAGGGTGTCAGAATCACTATTGGGAAGGGTGTCAAAATCCCTATGGGGAAGGGTGTCAAAATCCCTATGGGGAAGGGTGTCAAAATCCCTATTGGGAAGTGTGTCAAAATCCCTATTGGGAAGGGTGTCAAAATCCCTATTGGGAAGGGTTTCAAAATCCCTATTGGGAAGGGTGTCAAAATCCCTATGGGGAAGGTTGTCAAAATCCCTATTGGGAAGTGTGTCAAAATCCCTATTGGGAAGGGTGTCAAAATCCCTATTGGGAAGGGTTTCAAAATCCCTATTGGGAAGGGTGTCAAAATCCCTATGGGGAAGGGTGTCAAAATCATTATGGGGAAGGGTGTCAAAATCCCTATTGGGAAGGGTGTCTAAATCCCTATTGGGAAGGGTGTCAAAATCCGTATGGGGAAGGGTGTCAAAATCCGTATGGGGAAGGGTGTCAAAATCATTATGGGGAAGGGTGTCTAAATCCCTTTTGGGAAGGGTGTCAAAATCCCTATTGAGAAGGGTGTCAAAATCCCTATTGGGAAGGGTGTCACAATCCCTATTGGGATATGATCTCAAAATCATTATGGGGAAAGGTGTCAAAATCATTGGATGGGTGCCGAAGGAAATTGGAGGAGGGGGTTCAGTAATTGTAACGTATACATTTTTTCATTGTTAAAAGCAAACTTTTGAAATTATTTGGCTTTTTTATTAAAAATTATAAAAACTATAAAACATGTGATTGGGATGAAAAAAAATCGTTTTAAAATGTAACACAATTTATGGACGAAACCTTATAAACCTAACCCAATGTTTAATTGTTGACAGTTATGATTTTTTTTAGTTGGGGGACGGGTCTTGAAGCAACACAACACCGCACTTTATAAATGCTAATGTAAATATCTCCAAGACCACCCTATCAAATTGATCATTTAACTTAATCCCAATTTAAAAAGAATAGACAAACAGTCAAAAATATTTCTAAAGTCTTGCAGAATGTTTATAAAATATTATACTTTCACGAATATTAACCTGCTACTTAAGTTTTTATAGGAGTAAAAACAAACTTACCTTTTTAAGACTACTTTAAAAATATTGTTTCCAAAGTTTACGAAAACTAGAACTCTTGACTTTGTCTTGTGTATCTGCGTGTGTCAATATTATTTTTTTCAAATCCTCCGAATTTATATACCCCATCTTCTGCGCATGACGTCAACGGGTGTCAGATTTACATTATTATTGTCTGCTGCTTGAATGAATGGACACTGATTTCATCCAGACACGTCACACAGCGGTCAGTCTGTCGGCGAGACGGTTGGAAAGACGTCAGGTGGTGCCCAGGTGGCCGACCGCGACACGTCATTCAGCGGTCAGTCTGTGGTCGAGACGTTCAGGTGGTGTTCAGATGGCCTCCCTGGACACGTCATTCACGGTCAGTCTGTGGTCGAGACGGTCAGGTGGTGGCCAGATGGTCAAAATCCAGACGTCGCGACGCGATGAAAGGGAGACAGTCGTTGTTGATGACGATACGGAAGAGCCTTAAAAAGGTGGGTTCTTTTAACTTATGTTTTCAAACATTTCTTTGAAGTCATCTCCCTGATTTAAACAATTGGACGTTGATGAAGTAACAAATTACAGTAGAATCCATCATAAAGAGAACTAGACGCTATACCATACTTGATAATCAAAATCTTAAAAAAAAATTAATTAACCCCTCTAATTGTGCCAAATATGATACATTTTTATTTCGATTGTACCCCAATCCCCCAGCTATATGTCGTTCACCGTGTGTGCTGGGTTAAAATTTGATGTCGAAATTTTAATTTGTAGCTACTGTTTGTTGCCCAGTGGTTTAATCCCATACTTGGGCATTAATATCAACAACAATTAATTAAGATGAGGTAAAAGCCTTCGATAGTA